TCAGACAAATACACTCATAAACCCTACTGGAACCAACCCACTGCTGAAATCTGTTTATCAAACTGTCATGACCCACTGTGTCAAGTCTCAAGGCTGCACTTAAGTCTCACAAAATGATAATGGAGCGCTCGCCGACATCTGCCATCATTAAAAGGTCGTTTGTAACTCGAAAGGCGGTTTCTTTGCTTTGATTTTTCCAAAAGCCTTACTGCATGACAGGGCTTTCTAACACTGTCTTTTGTAAGATAGAAAGCTAAAAACGCATGTTTGGAAACAGGTCTGTAGATGGGGAGATCAAGGCCAGGTTATTTGAGAAGAGACTGGACACAAGCAGTCTTTAAATAGTCAGGGACACAGCTGGTAGACAGGTAGAAGGTATTCACTATATTATGCAACCACATTCCAAAGTTGTAATAAAAATTTCAAGGGCATTACATCAGCTGGACTAAAGGAGGGTTTAAAATGAAGCACATTGTTTTTAGAGCATCATTAGAAACTGTGGTGAGATGGCTGACAAAAGGAACTACTGGGGCAGGACGTGGACATGTTGGACCTGATACCTTCAGTTTAGTCAGTGAAAAAGCTAATAAGCAGTAGCACTCATTACTAGATGAGAAAAGCTGTTTGGGTTAGTTTGAATTTAATGTTTGTCCTTTGTAAGTTGAGGTACGTTAATACACCTCACTCTTACTGTATGTGTGTGTGTGTATGTGTGTGTGTTTCCCTTCAGTCTCTCCTGGTTTGTGTGTTTATTGACCCTATTCGTGCCTGAGTCATCTGTGTGAGCTTTCCTCCGGTTCAATCTCCATTTTTCTTTACGCTAATTCTCTCTGCCCACATTTGCTTTTCTGTCTTTGCCCTTCTCCGTTTTGTCATCTTCATTATGAGATCGTCTACCTAAAACTTTATCCTGAAATCTGTTGCGTTGGCACTCAGGAGGAAGAACAGCCACATCATCAGTTAGAACGAACACCCGGCCCCCCAACCTGAAGCAGCAGAGTCAGAGAGAACGTGTAAGAAACTGGAAGAAGAGAATTTTTTGTTAAGCTGGGTGAGTCAGAGGCTGGCCCCAGACCACGACAAGGGATTAGTGCCAGAATAGATTGTATTTAAATTGTGATTTAGAGTTGGACCATATTTTCATATGGGAGTAGTAAAATAATAGGCTACATTACTGAACAAATGGACTGCACAGAGCGTTTATAACCAAAGTGTTGATGGGAGTTGCTACTACTGTCACTTGGTACTTATCAGCGCAAAGTTTCACAGTGAGTCACATAAACAAACCCCCCAAAAACAAGAGTTCAGTGACACTTAACTCAAAACCATGTGGTTGTGAATTCTTCCCTCTGCTTAGTGAATGTGAGAATACTGTTCATAATGGCTGACTAATTTTTGTTTAAATTTGAAGGTGACTCACGAATATTTCTTTTATCACTAGAAAGCGTTTGCAGATCCAAAACAATAAAATCACACTAGTACACTTGCAAATCAAGTTCAGTAAGCCATTAAGGTAAGAAACTGTCATCTACTAAATACATCTTACTTTATCATGACAAAAACTCTGTCTGTGTGTCTGTTCCACGTTTTTCTCCTCACTGACTTGGTCAGTCCATGTGAAATTTGGCACAGTGGTAGAGGGTCATGGGAGGATGCGAATGAAGCAATATTACATCAGTTGGCCAAAGGGGGGCACTATAGCAACCGATTGAAATTCCAAACTTTGAATGGGCATATCTCATGCCCTGTACGTCGTAGAGACATGAAACTTTGCACAGAGATGCCTCTCCTCATGAGGAATAAATTTGTCCCAAGAACCCATAACTTCCAGTTATATAGATTTTCCGCCATTTTGAATTTTTTGAAAAACACTTAAAATCGATCTCTTCCTAGGAAGTTTGACCGATCTGGGTGAACATAATCTAGGGACCAATATCTAAAGTTCCCTCTTGGCAAAAGTTGGAAAACTTACTAAAACTGAGCTTCTATAAGGCAATGAATATTGCGGAGGGCGTGGCTCATCACATAAAGGTGTATAACACCTCAAGGGTTTCACCGATCACCACGCAACTTTGTAGGCATATGACCACACATAATCTGAGAGGACCCTCCATTATTGACCCCATCAAACAAAATGGGGGTGCTAGAGAGCTAATTTCTTATCTAGGCCTAACCGCCATATTGATTTTTACTAAAGTTGGTAGATATGTAGAACAGGACGCCTCAAGGTGACTGGAGAAATTTAACTCTAATTGGCAACTGGGTGGCGCTATAACAACAGAAAAATGCTTAAAAATGGCTAAAATGTGACCGATCGCTGTGGCTCCCCCTGTGGACCAATGTTGTTGTTTTTTTTTTCTAATTTTTGGTATGACTAAGTCATGGTATGGTATGCTGTACTCAATGGGTATGGACTACTTTATTATTAATTGCCTGATTGTCGAATAAGGCCAGTGATGAAAGTGTAGATAAATAAATGAACAGAGAGTCTTTTGTATTCTGTAACAACTTTACATTTACACTACATGCTGCTGCCAGACGACTAACTAGATCAAACAGACACTGTCATAGTACCTACACTAAAATCCCTCCATTGACTCCCTGTTGAGTATAGGATCCATTTCAAAATCCTCAGTCTTTCTTACAGAGCATTACAAGGTCAGGCTCCCTGTTATGTAGCTGAACTACTTCATCTGTATTCTTGTATATTGTTGTTGTGTAGTGTGAATTCTTTTTTTTTGTGTGTGTGTGTGTGCAAATAGTTTTGCTAGTTGTACTCTTGCTACATGGCTCACGTAGTCACTTTGTCTTTATGATTTCTTCTAGTTGTATATTGCCCTTGTCAAGCACTTTATGACCTATGTCAGTGGAATGCGTGATTGTAAATAAATTTTACTTACCTTTCCTTACTTACTTACTTATGCAAATGCACAACAAAAGTGGGCTCACAGCAACAGAGTTGGTCTCAGGTGCCTGTGCAGGACCGAGCCATGGCACAAGCCTTCGCAGATCAGGTATAGACAACAGCATTGATTACAATGAGAGTGGATCTGTGTTTTGAAGAGACGACTGACCTCCAGTGACAATCTGGTGTTAAATGCTCAATATGACTGACTACGTTTACAGGCACAAAATATTCCAGTTTTTGCCCTTACTCTGAAAATGACAATATCCCTACTGAGCTGTTTTTAAGAAGTGGTTACACTTATATTCCTGTTTACATGCATCCAGGCGCACTCCGAGTAAAGTCTCCTAACACGTCATTCATCATGTCAAAATATGGAAAAGTGGGCCGACTGAAGCCCCTTGTGCAGTTATGCTTTTGTGCATTACAATAGGATTTTTGAAAAAGTTTTCCACCAGATGCAGACATGTTGGACTGTGCAAACACAGCCTTCCTTTGCTTTCCTTCAAGCACCATTTATGAAGCGGTTGTCACAATTTTGCACATATGCAAAAGCCTATTAATATCAAAGTTTTTCATAGTGTTTAAAAGCTGTTTTTCTCCTTGCAATCAGAAATTTGGGCTTTTCTTTTGAGCATGCATCTCTACACCAGCCTTGTAAACTGTTGGTTAGTTGGGTCGTATACAACGTATTCATGAGGCTGCACAGAGCCACCCACATACAGTCAAGACACTGTGTGTTGCAAACGTCTGTAAAAACCCCAAGTGAGACACATATTCCGAATGCGCTGCACACATGCCCAAAGAATGCTCCTAAAACCTGATCCCATATGTCTTAATCAGAAAATGGTAAATCTGGTAAAAGGCGTACTTCAGGATATCCAGACTGAATTTGCTTTTTACATGGCACTTATGAAATTTGGAATATTCAGTCATATTCGGAATAATAATGGAAAATTAGCAGGCGCGTAAACAGTCATGGACAAAAACAATTGACATACATATACATATTCACTTTTTAAGGCATCACATTGCAGTGTATGAGCATGTTCGCAGTTTAAATGCTGTTTTATCAAAATATTTTTTCTTCCTGTATGACTCCATCCATCTCCCCTACTCTTCCTCTTCCTTCCTCTTTTGTTTAATTTGGTGGTTGTTATTTGCTCCAACCTCCCTTCTGCCAGAACATGTACAGACGCACACACACAGGCACACTGAGCCTTGATGATCTGATTTTATAGATAGTTTAGGCTCACCGGAGTTTTCTAGATCGCCAATCAGCGAGGCTTCATGTGAAAGAACACAAGCGAGGATGAATAGAGCAGGTGAATAAAACAGACCTGCAGGATGAAAACCCGCCATTAGCTGTTCATCTGTTGCATTGTTTGTGTGTGTAACTATCTGTTGTATCAGCTTCACAACACTGTATTATCTCCAGTCTGTGCTCTGCTGCTACAATGACCCTAATTCCCCGCAGGGATCATTTCCATTTCACTGGATTGAATCTTGAATCTTGTGAAGGTGAAAAATGGCGGGAAAACAAAGAATGTGTGTGATAGCGTGTGTGAGTTTAGAGGACAGCTGGAGAGATTACAAGTGAGTGTAAGAGCTGAAGTGGGATCTCAGTCAACTCTCAGAAAGTCTCCTGTAATCATATACTTCCTCATGATTGTACTACTGCTGGTGTCAGACGCCACCCACCAGGCGCAGAAGCAGCCTGAACCAAACTCGTAGTATTTGTAAATACCTTTTGACCACCGGCCTCGTGAGGAATACCACAGCTGTCTGCGGATACAGGAGCTGTCATGTCTGGAGATCACAGTCTGGCTGAATAAACATCACACCTGGCTCTCATATTAACCATAACATGCACATCCTATTCCTCTCTAAAAATGAATGTGTAAGCATTTGTGTATGTAAATGTTTTGCGCAGTGTACATGTTTGTGTTACACCTCTGTTTTTGTTTAGTTTGCCTTCCACCTGCTGCAAACAGAGTTCAAACTGCTGCTCACTAATCCTCTGTGTTATTTCTCTCCACCTCCCTCCCCTCGTCTATCCCCTCTGTCTCCCTCCACCTCTGCTTTATATGTTCAGTGGTGTACGAGCATCGCTCCCGGTTAGAGAAGTCTCTACAGAAGGAGAGGTTAGAGCACAAAAAGGCCAAAGAAGGTGAGAAAAATAAAATCTACACTTCAGATCTTTGTGAAATTATTATTGTAAGTCAACTTGGACAAAGGCATCTGCTGAATAGAAGTGCGAATGTGCGAATAAATTGTAATGCGATGTAATATAATGTAAGTATTTAACCAAGTTTTTACCTTAAAGGAATACTTCACCCACAAAATGATCATTTGCATATCAATTTCTCAGCCCGTGTTATATTTAATTTGTGAAGAAAACTTTGGGTTTTTTGTTAGGACTGTTATTCCATTCAAATATTTAATTTTATTTTTAGTTTATTATTTTATTATTTTATTTTATTTTTATTTAATTATATGATTGTCCATGCAGTTAATCTCAAATTAATTTTCGTCTGTTCTAAATGTACCTTAAAGGGACATTTTCTATGTCGTAGTGGACAAATATGCTTACGTATGTTTATTATTATTGCAACAATCCAAAATAATGGCAAATACTGTCCAGATTATTCTCCAGAATAACCTCAAATTTACTGCAAATATGCTGAAAGCATACCATGCCAAACTCAAGCCCAACAAGCAACAACAGACTGACATATTGACCTTAAAGTAACATTACTTAGTTAACTAACACAATGTAAAAATGTACTAAACATCCAGTTTTTTAAAAAACAGCTGAGCGTACTCCGCTGGTAACTCACTTCACATCGACAGCAAATGCAAATAACTTTGGTCTTGTGGAGAGAAACATGTGGCAGAGCTTTGACGCTGAACGCGCCATTCAAAAGACACCTTTCTTTATCCATTTCCGCTCACGGATGTTTGTTTCTGCTTGCCATCCACAGCATTACTGCTGCATCGCTTCCTGATTTCCCAAACTACAGGGTGGGCTGAGGGTCATAATTACAGAACGTATATGTGCATACGTCAAAAAAAAAATTAGTGAGGAAGTAAAGGAATTTGTGTTAACTCCTTATTAATACACTAACTTTGACAGCCCTAGTTTTTTACATACATCAACAATGAACAAAATACTATACTACAACATCTGTTAACAAACTCGCACACAACTGCAGTATAATCCAAGTCTCATACATCCAGTCATATCCTCAGTACTTCTCAAACACATGCATTAATTTCCTAAAACCTCATTGTTTAAAGCAGTGAACTCTGCGTGTGTATTCCATTGAGCAGAGTTCAAAGGCGTCTGTGCGTGAGACTGTTCATGCAGTTTTTTAAATGTTAAGTTTTTAAAGAAAATGCATGTGTTTGGGAAGTCCTGAGCATACTGGGTAAATGATGCGTTATGCTGCGATGCTAAACCTGGCTCGTGAAACCACATCGACTAAGGCTAGCTGTTACTCAGTGCCTCTCCCTACGTGTTGTATTAGACGTGAGAAATGTGCCTGGACCTCCTTGGGTGAGTGTGACGTCTCCTATCTGGAGGGGGGTGTGGTTGATTCACCACTAGGCCACCGCACTCGCTCCTTGGACCAGCTTGCTCAGACCGGACGACTCCGCTGGACACCCCTCGGATACCATTCCCTCAGACCAGTCGGCCGGCCAGCTAGCTCTTCTTTGTGGTTATTCAGAGTGCATTTGTATTAGATAATTCGTGGTGGGTTGTCAATGTCAAACGCTTTCTCAGTCTCTTTTGTCTTCAGAGTGTCTTGCCTCCGCTGTCTCCCTCATGGCTTGCCAGTTCAGCTCAAAGGCCTCTCAAAAGCTCTCCCTCTAGGTGCGGCTAATAGCGGCTAATGAGTCATTACCACCAACCCACAATGTGACTTCACTGCTGACCCTGCCTCCTATCACTTACCTAAAACACACTCACATCTAAAAGACATTTAGTAATCTACCAATAAAGCTATCATAACATAACACTTGAGCTACACTGTACAGGTTGTGTGTGAGTTTATTAACGGATGCTTTGAATTAGTTCTGTTGTTACTTGAAGTCATCAAGACTTTTCTCCTGCTTTGGGTTCTTTGCTCACTGCAAAGGCATGCAGGAAAAACAACATTCTCTTCACTAATTTAACGTAACTCGTGGTGAGTAATTGATACACAAATGATCATTTTGTGGGTGACGTATTCCTTTAAACATTTCCACATCACCATCTGCAGCAGCTGAGCGGTGCAGACCTATAATAGCATGTGTTTTATTTTCAAACAAGATAAAGATGTGTAAGAGGGCTTATGATTCAGGGAGATATGATTCATTTTTGTCGGTTGACTGAAGTTTGGGATTTATGGTGTTTACTTGGCATCAGATTGGAGCTCATGCTCAAAAGCAAGTTATCGACCAAGTTCACACACACTTACTTTATTGTTAAAAAAAGATTGACCTGTGGTGTTTCTGTTTTTCTAGATTACTTGGTTTATAAACTTGACGCACAACAGTTACTCAACAAGGAGAAGGTATGTTTCCACACAGTAGCCACGGCTGCTGTGACTAAATATCATCATTTAAAACTGTTGTCAAACTTATAGTATAGTCTGTCTCATATCACCTGACCATTGTTTTCAGTCAGCTTGTATTGCTTTGTTAAATCCTACTGCTACAACTGCCGCCATCAGCCATTATTCATCTCTTCACTGTGATCCGTTGTGACAGATTAATGACAGAATGTGTTTGTGTGTGTGTTGTGACAGATATTAGTGAGCCTACAGACACTAGTTTGATTTCTCTCAATAACCACAGAAGCATGAAAGTTCTTCATAACCTTTGTTTTTATGTTCAAACAGCAAGAGGCCAGCAGCAGGCTCAGCGCTCTCCAAGTGCAACATCAGATGCTGAAGGTATAAATCGTGATAATCCCCTCACACACAAACACATTGTCACACTGTAGGTCTCTTTATCCTCTTTATTCACACACACACACACACACACACACACACACACACACACACCCCTCATGTTTAACTTTCTTTCTTCCTGTCGTCTTTGTTACACACACCGTCTGACCTTACCACACTACATCCTTCCTCTCTTTTATGTGTGTGTATGTGGGGGAGGGGGTGTTGCAGTGTAAAATGTCAAAATAACTAGTTATCGAACATCTGTTTAAAAAAAATCACTAAATGCCTTTTGCATTAATACCAGATGCAGATCAGGAAAACAGAATTAACACTCATATTTTGTTTGCACCTGGGTTGCTCAGAGCTTTGGATCCACTGCTAGCTGTCCCTGTACCCCAGACGAGATGGGGAAGTACAAAATTAACCCAAAAAATTGCCATTAAAGCAAGATTTTGCAGCGTGACTGAAACTGGTACAAAGCAATGCATAAAGTTTTTCAAACTCAGCACAACAGAAACACAAATTTGCTAAGATAACCTGCCAGCACACACCAGATATTTGTCAGTTCTTAGACCAGAAGCCAGGTCCAGCCCTCACCTCTTTTTCATTTTTTATCATTCTTGTTAGCCTGTACTTTGGGCCGTCACAACTTGATAAAAAGCACCCCCAACTCAGGGCTGTCTGGTCTCAGGGGTCCCCTTTTTTGGGACATATCTCTGGCATAATGATATAAATGCAAATATCAGGGCACTATGATGGCATATATAGTCATACAAGTATGAAATTTGGCATGGAGTATCCTGACACAAAGGGGAAAGTAGCAAAATAAGATCTTGGGGCTTGCTGCCATTTTATTTCAACACATCACACACAGCATCCCCCCTAAAAAAACAAAAATGACTGTCCGTTTGACAAATAATTCTCATCAAAAATGATTATTTTTCATCACTTTGTGTTTAATATCACTGCTTCACTTGTACACAGAAAACGTCCCAAGATGATGAGCTTCAATTTGAGCCCAAGTTGACCTTTTCATCTCAAAGATTACACTTGCTTTGGCCTAAATTTGTCACTATGTCAAATCAGAGAAAACTGAATTTTCAGTCACTAGCCTTCCAGAGAGGCTACTTGCTAGCAGTGTGAATCTGGAAGTGTTGAGTCCTCAAAGTTTTATGTTGTACAGATTCGGTGCCCAGCATTTAGAAACTGTTCTACCCTCGTCTCCACAACGCCTCCACCCCCACTGCTGATACCAGTGCTAGGGTCAGCCGCGAACAGATATCCGAACAACATTCAGGTGTCTAAACAGAAAGCAGATGCACTGTGGTGTCTGAGCCCGGTCACAAAATACCAACAATTATACAAGTTGAATGAGGGAGAAGAGACCTATTCTCCGCAATGTTCCCGCTTCATGTGTTTTTAACTCCCTACAATTTTAGTTATGGTAAAACTGCTCTTAAATTTCATTCCAAGTATTTAATCTAACCTGCCTCAAGCTGTAGAAACCTTTATATAGGCTTTACATATTGTCATATGATGACAGTAGTTTCCCCTCTGTGTCAGAACCAGCACGACGACCTGAAGAAGCAGTTTTACGATCTGCAGGAGCAGCACCAAGTCCAGGGTGACGACCACAACCGGCTGCTGGACGAGCACAAAGAGCACTACGAGAAACTGCAGCAAATGAAAGAGGTGGAAATCTCCCACCTCAAAGGTACACATGGTCACACACACAAATGTATTTTAACACTACTTAGTCACACACAAATACAGTGCAGCTCTCTGTTGTGGTGCTGTCATTTAACACTCTTACTTTGTCTCCACCTTCTGACATAATAAAATACTGCATGCCTGAAGTAGTGTGAGTGTTTTATGTGCAGGCTTTTAGATCGACACTAGAACAATGTTTTGTTGTACTGCACCATTCAGTATGTGCTTAAAATCATCCTCTGACTCGAGCCTCATTACGTCAAATTAAATTTTTATAATGCTGTGGGACCAGAATTTGTGACATGAGTCATGAGGATAAAAAAGAAACATGAAAAACATAAGTGGTCCTATTTGTTTTTCCAGATGTTTTGCAGTGAAGTATTGCTCTTATTTTATGTGTCCAGTGTTTAGCTGCATGCTCTCTGTTAATGTTTGTTGTTTGTGTGATGGCAGATAATGTATATAACCTGAGAGAGGAGAATAAACAGCTGAGGAAAGCCCACCATGACATTCACACACAGCTACAGGATGCACAGGTGAGACTAAACCTGCTCTGTTCAGTTTGTCTTTTCGCAGTCTGTCGACTTCCTTTTAGTATGAAGAGACAAATAATTTACCTCTCTGAAATGGAAGAAGGAAAGTTGTCAGTCATGAATGTGTGCCAGTAAAATTACGGGGAAAAAAAGAAAGATTTCTGGTAGTTAAATTTCAGCCTCACATAAAGATAAATGGTTCACTCATGCATCTTGGTTGCACCTGTGTGTCCAGATTCGGCATCAGGACCTGAAGGCAGCCCACGACAACCTCGCACTGACACTGGAAGACCACAAGAGTGCGCTGGCTGCAGCTCAGGTAGGACTTCACTGTAGAGATGCAGCCTCATTGTTCACTCCAGTCACTGAACACAACAGCTGATTGATGCTAAATTGCTGCATCACAAGTATTTCAGTCACATAATTTTCTTCCCATCAAGTGTGCAAATGTTATTACCTGGAGTAATTGAAGGCGGCTCTAGGAGAGACTTTGACATATGGAAAGGCTGAAGAGATGCATTTTAATTCATCATGAGAAATGGGTTTGTGTGTTTAGCATGTTAGCAGTGAGGCTACAGAGAGTAAGGCGGTGTTAATGGAGTAAAACAGCCAGGTGATGGAGAGTCTGTGTTGCTGCTGTACAGTTTGTCAATAATACAAATAAGCTGATGAAAGACAAGGTCATACTTTCAATCTGGAGAGTAAGTCCTGCTCTGCATTCCTCTCAGACTTCCTTTAACCTTTCCTTTAACCTTCTCAAGAAAGCAGAAACAATGTTTATTGTAGCCGACTGTATGATCCCCAGTGGAGGAGAAATAAAGATGCCCGAGGTGTTTGGTCATTGGGTAATTAGATCAGATGTTTGCTGTTTCTCCCTGAAACCGACCTTTGAGATGCCTGAATGCTTTATTGAATATACAGTGCATTGCTGATTTGTTTGAAATGCTCTCCTCCTCTCCGTCTGCATTAATAGATATTCAGTCACTCTGCTCTCTCTGTGTGTCTGTCTGTATTTGCTAATTTATTTTAAAGCCTGTCCTGCTTTCAGGGCTTCTGGTTGGACGGACACACATGCACGCACACAAACACACACAGCTCTTTGCTTCCCTCCAGGGGGTTTAGTTTAGTCAGGGCTGTCAGAGCAGTACATCTAAAGCACGTTCCAGCCAATCAGCCAGAAAGATATAATGGAGAGAGTGAAGCGAGATAAAGAGAGAGCGGAGGAATTTGGCAAGAATTTTTAGAATTTAACCCTCAGGCTGAGTTTGACTGTGTGTGTGTGTGTGTGTGTGTGTGTGTGTGTGTGTGTAAGTAAAGATAGTGTCCTTTAATGGTATACTGGTCTAAACTGGATGGACGATTTCAGAAGCGTTCAAATGTTAAAATGAATGTGTTTTTCTATATGCAGGTGAGTTAGCGTCTGAGTAGGGCTGCCCCCCTAGTCGACCAATAGTCATCATTTAGGGCCATTAGTCGACTAGTTCCCCGCATGTTTTCAATATTGATTTAATTATTAAATGATATATTTTGGGTGGGGCAACACAATGGTTTGAGTTGAAGGTGTGAGAAAGAATAGTATCAGTAACATTGTTAACACTGTGCTACATTACAGAGAAATACAAAACCGTACTAATGAACCTTCATTAATATAGGCCTATATTTTATCTACAAGTGGCTAATGGGCATGTAGCTACTTCCATGTTTCAGATGATATGTCATGTTTGTAGTCGACCAATGAAGATGAGTTTACATATCACCTTGGGTTCGTCCTTCACCTTCTCAAAATGATCCCACACTTTGGATTTCCTGCCCGACATGTTATTAACTAGCCTGTGGAATAACCGCAGGTACCAGCCCTGGAAATTAACATGACCTTTCAAATAAATTCCCACATGGTCCAGTCATATAGGTTTTGATTATTTTGACAAGGTGCAGCTCCTATTAGAGTTTCAAGTTTTGTTTTTCCTGCGACTAAGTGACCAATGAAATCTTGCCGACTAATGACCTTTCTGGTTAATTAATGTTTAGTCGACTTAGTAGGGGGCAGCCCTTCATCTGAGCAATGGCTATATATAACTTTCTTGTGTGGTAGTTGTCCATGCTTCCCGAACATTAGAAGACATTTCATTTGACACTAGGGCTGTACCGAATACTTTGAAGCTTCAGAGTTCCATTCATAACATTGACAGTAGAATTCTAACTCCACATTCAGTTTTCCATGTTTGTTCACTCTGTTTAATCCTGGTATTTCTGCACAGTGTCAGATAAAGATACGGCTACACTAACATTATTAGTATAATGCTATTTGCAGAATTAGATTATAGTGGTGGCTGTGTAGGATTGTGTCCGATTCGTGCGAGTCAAATATTTACGATAACATTAAGATGTTCAAAGGCCCAAAAATCAAATTAATTGGGGGGCAAAATAGACATAATAATTTACAACAAGTTTTTATCTAATGAGATATTTTGCTTCTGTCCATATTTGTTCACGTTTAGTCTTCAAATACAACATTTTCACACCAGTCAAACAACTGTTTGCTCTTCTGCTTGCTGCACAGAAGGAAGGCAGGTGACTATATCAATGTGGTGGTCTGGCAGCAATCTAACAGCACCATAAATTACATTTTTATAACCACAATTACAAAATATTTATTTAGGCTTGCACACTATTATAGCAAATTTCTTATACTGTTAAAAAAGAGTTAACTCACTCAATTTTTTAAGGGTGATTACATCATAAAATATGATGACAGACATTCAAACTGTAATTTGAAAACTCCAATAGATGCTTAAAATGTAAGGGGGGAGAAACGACATTTGGTTCAGTCCTATTTGAAACATTCTCACATTTAATAGCTTACAGTATGTTTATAGGGCGTCAGGGCTGGGTAGGCCAGTGTGTTCAGACATCACTGACTATTTGTTGGCTTCTTTTTGAAATAGGAAACAAAGGTTTTGTCGAAAAGCATGTTTAAATGTTTCAGCGTGAGGCGTCATAACTTAAATATCATATCAGCACTGGTATAGAAAGATTTCAGTCGATATCCAGCCTATTCTGTCACAATCATCTCACAATTTTCCCAGGCTTTTCTCTCTAAGCTCTCCTGTGTGTGTGTGTGTGTTGGTCCCTTCAGGTGCAGGTGGATGAATACAAGCAGCTGAGGGAGTCTCTGAACAGAGCACCAAACATAAGACAGCCTGAACAAAACCATGCCCCCCAGCATCTGCAAGCAGCTGTCATAGCGCCCGAGTCCCATGTTCACGCAGTCCAACAGGCCGCAATCCTGGAACAGCCACACAAAGACGAGCCTGCCCATGAGGACCATCACCAGGATCACCAGGACGCTGAGTCCAGGGTAAAGGGGGGATTTTTCGAATCACATTACTATCAAGAGAAAAGGTACACTGTAAATATAAAAACACACACATCCTATTATTTTTCTTGTTGCTTTGTCCTCAGTTGGACCATCAAGAGGAGGAGATGCACGCCCAGTCCCAGCTCAAGTCCCATCCCACCGTGTCCCAGCACACCTTGTCAGACAAAGAGGAGGACAGAGAGGGAGAGGCTGAGAGGAGGAGGGAGCTGGCGGAGGAGGAGATGGCTCAAGCGGGACAGCCTCAGAAGCTGGAGGAGGACCCGGACCAAACGCAGGATGAGCAGCAGGAGGAAGAGGAGGAGCAAGAGCAGGAGCAGCCAGACGAGAACGCCTTGGACCAACAGAGACACCAGCAACAACCGGTCAGAACTGGTTTAGACTAATTAGTTTTATCCAAAGGGCTTTGATTTTCTGTATCTCAGTTGAGTGTCATTAGTTTAGAGTGGGTCGATTTCTGGTTTTGTGGGTCTGATCTGATGTGCGAGCTTCAACCTTACACCGGCCCACACCTAGTTTACAGTGACTTGTATATGGTATCGTTAAGTTTTTTTCAAAATAGCTTAACTGAGCAACATAACAAATTATGTAATCATAAATTAGTCACATGTCTTTGCCATGTCAGGGACACAGCTTCTGCTTAAATTAAGTGCGAATCATTTATCTTAACTCCCAGAGGAGCTGGAATAAATTACAACCTTCCCTCACTGTTTACTTCTTTGATTAATGACAGCCTGCTCATTATGTGCTGTGCTCATTGTTTTATTTCATTTTCATCGATTAAACTCTCCCAACAGATGAATTAAACCATATGTCCACATTTATGTCTCAAATTAGCACCAGGTCTGTGTGTTTAATTTGCTCTAATACTTTCCCGCTGCTCTACATATTTGTCCTCTTCCATCTGTTTGTCTTCTCCAAAGGGTCCCCATCCGGAGCTGCATCAGGACACCCAGCTGCAGCACGAGGCGCACGCCCAGGTGGAGCGTGTGAAGTCGGCCTACGAGCAGCAGCAGGAGCAGCAGCGCCTGGAGGCTCAGAGGGCCGAGGAGCGCAGGCAGATCCAGATGCGACAGGAGGCCCTGCAGGCCCAGAGAGACAAGGTGCTGAAGGAGAGGGAGCAGAGGCTGAAGCTGGAGCAGGAGCGAGAGCAGGAGCACCACAGGGAGGCCGACAGACGGGAGCAGCTGCTCAGAGAGGAGCACGAGAGGTCAGATTTTGAATCAGAGATGGAATTAATTTAACTCGGGTGCAGGAGGATTTTGCCCAAATCACAAAAATAAACTTAAACTTACTTTAACTCAGAGGTATCAAGCAAAGCAGATAATTTTAGTTTTATCCAGGTTTTAGGATACCTTTGTGGGAGGAAACCAGAGTACCCGGAGAAAACCCACGCTGACATGGAAGGAAACATGCAGACTCCACACTGCTTTATCTTTATCTACATCTACATCAGCCCAAAAGCCACATGGAAAGTCTGCAGCTCAGTCAGCGATGGCTGTCGCCCATTTTCTTAATTATCTTTTTCAAAAGGAACACTTAATGAGACCAGCATCGCACTGATTAACCTGAGCAATAACAAAGTCTCCCTCCTGCAGACTAGATGCAGTAATTTTACTGCCATGTTTGCCACTCAGCAAACTAATTATTCTCTGAGCCTGGCAGTAACACAAACATCCATAATCCATAAAGAAACATTTGACACTTTGATTAAGTTTGTGCAACGACAAAGGGGAAAATTCTATTTGTCTTAATATGCAGGTGTGTAAATGAAAGTGCAGACTAGGACAGTTCAAACAATATACAGTATTGATTGATCAAAATAGGGCTGCTTACCAAAAACTGCTTTATGGCAAGCAGGACATTTTTAAACACACTCTAGTACACGTGCATATTTCTTTATATTAATAGCTCTGCAGTGAAGTGGCTCGTAACGCCTGTGCTCTTCTGACCGTGCTGTCATTGTCATTGCTGTCATTAGGAAGAGGGCCGAGTACGAGAACATGGACAATGATATCGTTCAAGGGGAAGAGGACCGCCACACTGATGATGAAGAAGGTGAGACAGGAAGATTGCTAGTAGGAAGTCCTTGGATCCAGTTCAACAGTCAGATACTTAAGAATGCTTATCATGACATCATATGAGGAATATAGTATCATAGAATGTTTGTCACTGTAAATCACAGTTATTTCACATGATTACCCGTTGACTGTGGAAACATCATGCATTTATTTAACTTTTTTAAAAAATGTTAAAAGTGGATTTTCTTGAACTATGAATATATTCAACTGCAGGTGGCTCATTGGCTGTAATTCTTACTGTGACAGTAAGACACTTAAATACAGAAATATTGTCATTAACAACAAAAATTGTAACAAAAATAAACAACACTAATGTCAGTAATATAATTCTCCATCATAATAATCTCCTGTTGATAATTCCTGAACTGCAGCTTGTGCTTGTTTATACACAGCATGCACAGCAGGCTAAAATGCACACTGAAGCGCTGCTCAGGCACTTTGACCCCATGCTAATTGGTATTCTGTCTGAGTGTGGTCAGATATCTGTAGCAATAAACAGTCAATAGCATCATTTATTACTTAAGCATGGTCGAATCTGCCGTGGGAGGCCGCCTGAACGCTGTGGGGGGAAGGGATGCCTTCCAGTCTTTTAGCCTTGGAAGCAAACAGTACTCTTTCATGTGGGCGGGGTTGTTGTCAATCACTGTATTTCCTCCTTTTTCAGTCTGCTTCCTTGTTTTATTGTCCACAGACCAAGGCTGCACACCGACATTTTCAGAGCAAAATAAAACATGCTGCAGTGAGAGTCTCTCTCCATGGGTTATTTAAACTTATTGGGTTTGCGCATCTTGCTATTCTTAGGCAAGCTCAGGGGTTTAGTGTTGCTGTAGCCCACAGGTACAATGCTTCCCAACGCTTTGGGGGTCGTCCCCCCCCCACCCCCAATATAGAATATAGGCAATTCACATAATCTGGTAGAAATTGATATATATTAACACATGAAGATCCACTCATTACTAAAAGTCATATAAGAACTAAAGTGATGGTCAAAGTTGTCACAGTGAAATTCAAGGTGTGTTGATGGATTCACATGTCATCAGCTCATGCATTGAATAAAACTACAAGTTAACGTTTCACCTTAAAAGTCGCCGGCAGTCGGCCCAGTGAGAATTAAGTTATTTTTTTCTAAGATTCCAGCTGCTGCAAGAGGCAGCAAAACATCCTTTTATTTTATAGTTACAGTAAGAAAACTCTCCACAGTATGAACAGTGGTAACATGAGCCTCAAAACCAGCCACAACTCAGCTCTGAGCAGAGTGACCATCATCTATTGACCAATCAACAGACTGCAGTGTTCACAGCTCCACCTTTTAGTACCAGATCTGTGTGCTAGGTACCCCAACAGAGGGGGGACCAAAAATGGGGATGATATGGAATGGTTCCATTGGTACCATCCACAACTTTTCACAGTGGAAACAGAAAAAAAGTCTCCTGAACTGAACTGCTCGGTGGAAACAGGGCTCTCATTACCCTAATCAACACATTTGGGTGATGCCCCTGTGAATAATGTTCGCAGCCATCCTGAGAGCTCCGCCTTGTGATGTAATGAGAGCTCAACAGCGGATTATTTTTAGAAATGTCACTAGAGGGTCTGAAAAGTTGCTAAATCTAGCGAGAAGGTCGCCAATTTGGCCACACTGCTGTAAAGGAGAGGGCTGCACTGGATTTATAACAGAAGACAAAAAAGAGAGTGCTGCTGCGAAACGAAAAACAGAACAATAATCATTTAATCTTTATCTTGTTTTCATAATTGAAAATAAAATTCTGTCTATCGCCCAGCCCTGATTCATATTCAGTGGATCTGTTTGTGTGTTAACAGACGGTGACATGGTACACGAGGAGGAGGAGAACCAAGAAGTGGATCACAGAGTGCCGTCACATCAGCAGGTGACTGTCTATCCATCCGGCTTGCTCCCTTCTGTCAACACATCATCTGTCTATCCCCTCAGCTCACTCAGTCACTTAACATTCACACCGGCGTATCGTGTGTCATACGTCCATCCACAAATCGATACTTTCATCCTTCCTACCCACTGTCCTCCGCTGCCATGTTCATCTCCCCTCCATCCATCTTCCACTTGTCAGTCAACCCAGTGATGTGTCAAAGCTCCTGAATTCCAACAAGGCAATTAATACAACATCAAAGTTTTATCTGCCAAACATATTCACTTATAAATCCTCCACACTGCAGTTTTATTGCGTGCATTTTATCATATCCTTTGCTCTTGTTCTAATATTAATGCACCATGTATCTTATGCAAATATGAGCCCACTATCTCCATTATTATTCCATCTCCTCCTCACTCTCTCTAAATGTTGCAGGGTGCTGCAGTCGGTGATCTGGACCCGGAGGATGACCCCAACAACCAGGGAGAGGACGAGTTTGAGGAGGCCGAGGACGAGCGGCCGCAGCACAGGGTCGCAGAAGAGGAGGAGGAAGAGGGGCCAGCAGCGCCGGCCCAGCACAAAGACACTCACCCGGGCCCTGAACAACCTGCTGTGGAGGAGGGGCTGGTGGTGAGTAGGAGGCCGGAGGAGAAACAGGGCATAGGTCACATATACAGACATTATATTCAGCGTCAACAGGTTACAGCAGGAGGAAGGAGATCAGAAGTTGCGATGAGAGAGTGATGCATTTACAGCCTCACACACAAACACTGCTCAGGGTGGCATGATGAAACTGTGAGAGTGTGAGAACTGGAGACTTCTGGGTGAAAGAAATGATTTTTACGGTGTTTTTTAACTTGTGTGTGTTCAGATGGCTGGAAACCCAGATCAACAGGAAGACACGCTGGATGATCAGTACCAGGAGGAGGCAGAGGACGAGGTGTGTAACTCTTATGCTCAGATGAATTCTGTACATATTGAGTAAAGTACAGTAACACAAAAGATATGATGGAGCAAAACGTGCATGTAGGAACGACCGATTCACTCTTGAAACGCATGTCATATGGAACAGTTTAGTAGAATTTAGGTGTAAATATTGATCAGTCAGTGATTTTTTTTTTTTTTTTTTTTTTGTCTCGTTGGTAATGTCTCAAAGGCTCAGGAGGACATAGCTGGTGGGCAGAAGAGAGAGGAGGAGGTGGAGGAGGAAGGAGAGGATCCATATAATGAGGAGACCATAGATCAGGTGGGTTTGTCTGAGGGGAACCAAACTCAGACAATTTCTGGATTCTCCTCAAGGCATCAGAAATTGTAATATACCGTTAAGTAACGCATTCTTCCCTCAACCCAAACTGATAATAGTTTTTTTGTATGTATGGTGCACAACTGCTACGAGCAGTAACAGCAGACAGTAAGCCTATCAAGCTCAGAACGAGCCTTAGCAACGACTAGCTGTTGCTCACTTAGCCTGTTAGCAGACTCACAGCGCAGGTTAGGACATCTTCATTAAAACAGTACTGAAACTGTCAGTATATACTCTGATAAAGAACCTCTTTATTCTGAACCTGCCTTTTACACAGGCATCTCTCCTTCTGTCTTTTAATATTAAACCTGACTTTCAGCTCATCCGTCATTTCTGTACTATTCAGGAGATGGACCGTCCTATTGACGATATTTAAGCTGTTATCTGGGGTTCATGGGAATGGGGTGGATTGTGATTAGGTGTCTTGCTTTGTTCCTAGTCATATATAAGCTTTGTTAAGTTTGATACCTGTTGTGAATAAACACTCATTGGCATCACATCCAAGTGAGAGATGTAACACCTCCATGTGTCGCTTGTTTGAAAAACTGCTCTGGCTCTTTTTTTGGCAAAGCTTTGAGCACCTCAAACCTATTTTTTGAGCAACAGCAAGCTTTTCCTTAGGCTCACTGAGGGCTCAATAGGCTCCTTGAATGTTGCTGTCACTCGCTGTTTGTTAGGAATAGGTGTTTAAAGGCTGCATCTTAACGTACTTTCACAGTTTGAAAATTCAGCCATGATGGTTGCCGCTTAGGCAGCTACCAATAATAATTATTATCCATTAGGGTTGGGTCGGTTCTCGGTAATACCAATTCGGTTCGGTACTCCGTCTTGGACTGGGGTTTTTTTTTTATTTATTTATTTTTTTTGAGACCGACTGGACCGCATGCTCGGGCGGAACGTATGTGGAGCAGATGCCACGGAGGTCCGCCCGGTAAAAGTGGACATCCGCAAGCCCTGTGCGCGCAAAGCATGACCGCGCGGACTCCACTCCACACACCAGTATCACACAAAAGACTGTTCGGCATGTATTTTTCACACCGCGGGGATTTTCACGGACATTTTTACACGGAGTCCGCTCCACTTATAGTATGCCCGAGTCTCTGGGCGCCTCTACTGTAGCCTGGAGTTTGTTTAATAGTGACGGGGAGTCGATAATGGCGGACAATTTAGTCTCGACGAAATCAAAGAATGCGCCACTATGGCAACACTTTGGCTTTGAGCCAGACAAAGGAGGCAACCCGTGTTTGCACTGATTGAGTAAGCTGCAAAATTTATTTGTAACGAATAAAAAAAACAACTTGTTACTGTCACTCTGTTGTCCTAAGGTCGTTTTTTATTTTAAATGAGTCAATTGCGCCCCCAAGTGGCGAAAATCCAGTATTACCAACTTGATGCAGTTTTTTTTTTACAAAAACCGGACCGTTTTTTTTTTTGTTTGTTTGTTTGTTTTGTTGTTTTTTTTTTGTTTTTTGTTTTCCTCATACCAACCCGACCCTATTATCCATTTCGTCATTACTGGGGAGTCCATTTTTATTCTTTGGGATGTTTTGTTAGTTCCTTACCTGCGCAATATCACACCCAGAAACAGAGTTGAAAGCACCTGTTGTACACAATAAAATATTTTGGTATCACATCTGCAAATATTTACAACAGTGACATATTAGTTGTGTTGCTACGCAGGGTTGGAGATGTGTGTGCCTGCCTTTGTTTTGTCCCTGTAACTTGAACCTCGTCCGTGTGTGTCCTGTTAAATGAGGGGGATCAGGTGTCGAGTCTGATGGAGTGTCGGGTCACCACCTGGACTTGGTTTATTCAGTTTGTCCTGGGAGGAAATCTGTTTGAATGATGAGGCTCACACACATTTTTTTTTACCTTTAAATAAAAAGCTAGTGTAGTGTATTTACTTCTTCACTACAGTGTTATAAAATGGCTGATGTATGCTCGGTTGGTCTTGATATTTTTATTAGGTGATTTTTTAATTTTAAGAGTTGGATAATGTACAAACTTTCTGATAACCTGCAGCCCACCTTGCTGAGGTGTCCTCAAGCAAGACATTTGCCTCCCTACTACGCCCTGTTGTGTAACTGACTCCTGACCTCCTTAGACAGTGACATTAATTAATTTATAATCCCTAGTTTTTTGCCAGGAACACTGTGCTGTGTACCTGTAAGGTCCTTAGTCTCCTCACTCCTTTAACTGACTTGTGTTTCATACTCTGCTGGTCACCCAATGAGTGAACATGCTTATGTTTCACTGTAATTTGAGCTCAGTGGAGCTTTGACTTCATTCAGCTTCATTCATCCGCAGCTGCACAGTTGGTCCGGCATGAGGTGTTGCAGTTGAACCTTTGCACAAGTGTATCTGTCTCCATTTATTTTCAACAGAGTCAAATTTCTATGTTACAATCCTTTAGACAGATAAGCAGGAGAAACGTGCTACTGTGTTAACACCTTTCCCTCCATCACAAAGGTACAAAGCATGAGCACCGTTTCCACCAAACACTTTGGGTAACCCTTCAGACATGGCACCTAGACCCTAGGTCCGTTTAGCGTTTCCACCACTAACAGTACTAAGTGTGGGCGTGTTTGTTGTCACTTTACACGATTTTCACCCTGATTTTGCGTCGCGGAGACTGTCGTAATCTTTTGAGTGTTCATATCTGGCAACGTGTGTTCCTGTCGACAACTGCGTTACGACCTGTGTGTGCACACCACAAGATTTCTCCACAGAGCCCTCGCCGACAGAGCCCCAGATAACACGGTGACGTCACCAAACTTGGAGACGACACATCGTAAAGGCATGGATATTCTTCCCAGTGTTGAATCAGATCTGCCTCCAGGGCCTGGGTCCAAACACAACGCGCTCCCCGTGATCCTGTGGACGCCGCCATTGTTGTTGCTTGCCAGCTTGTCAGTGTTGCCAGATCTTGGCAGAGAAACAAGCAACCAGGGCTATGGAAACAAGCCCAAAAGAAGCAACTATCGTGCGTTTAAATGGAAGGTGACGTTTAGAGAGCAAGCCCAAATAAGCAAATCCACTTTAGAAACAAGCCCAAAGTCATCCCACCTCTCACTGGCTGATGCTCTTTGTCAGTCGTGTCAGACTTCTCAAGTTTTCTAGCATGCTAGTCCCAGTCGCAGACGAGGGGGCGACTTGCTCATAGGCTTGTTCACACATGAGGACTCGTCGTGGCAGACTATCTGCCGAATCACCTCCGACCCAAGGTGGCTCTCAAGATCCTCTGCAACGTCAAAATCGCTGTGAAAATCGTGTAATGTGAACTAGGCTTTACTGTCACTGTCAGCAACTTGTTTATCGGCCACAGAGCAAAAATGCCTCCATACTTGGTTGCCTCCACTCCTAAATTGTGAAATGGCATGAAATCTGAATTGAGTTTATAATGGAAATAGGTATGTTAAAACAGTGTGAAGCCGAATAATGTAATTTCCATATAAGTTAAATTTTGTCTTGATGTCTGAAATGATTTGGATATTGGATATTAAATAGTCTCGTTGTGTGCTTGTGATTTACACCAGGATGACGTAAAAAACCAGGAGGGACCAAGAAAGGAGGGGGATCATAGAAAAGAGGCCGAGAACAACGAGGAAGAGAACTACGAGGAGGAAGAGGAGGAAGTAGAGGAGGACACGGCTGGTCACGACAAGGGAACCAATCGGAGGGCAGAGATGTGAGACGGACGCAGACTTTGACCAGTTGCAGTGCCTTTTTTTGGCTGCCTGTAGAGCCTTTTCGGATCTTTCTTCCCCTTGTTTCCCAAAGGAATAAAACCAGCCATCCATTCAGAGTTCCAATTAGGAAAATTGGGATACTACGCCTGGAAGATGGGATGCTATTCCAAACACTGTGGGGATGGAACTGAGCAGCTTACACTGTGGAAACGGACAGAATTTGTCAGACGTAAATGGGATGTATACTGTATATTTTTTTCATTCATCTGCTTCTCTGTCTACTCACTCGTCTGCCTAATTGCCTGCCTGGTTCTGTTTTTGAACAGCAGACAGGCAGAGAATGTATTTCTATCATGTGCTGTCTTTGAGTATTTGTAAAGAAAAGCAAAGATAAATTATGTTATTCAGATGTCCTCATGTTCAGGCCTTTGTATGTCTGTTTTATGCAAACAGTTTTTATTCTTTGTAGAGCTCAAGTTTTAATTTACACCTTGCATTCCAATAGATCAAGTCGTTTTCTGTTATTTATTGTTGAACGTAACAACTCTGACAATCGTTAAGGAAAAAAAAAAGGTGCAACATTTCTTTTTCTGAACCAGTCGTAATGGCTTTCACCAACTATTTGAAGCTGATCCGCAGGAGAATTTCCACTGGATATTTCTGCAAAATGCCAGTCAAAGAGACATTTCTGGTGAAGCCGCTCTGGGCTGAAAGTGTCACACTGACATGTGCCTTTCCATTCTTGGAAACCTCCTCTAGGTCTTAGTCATTTTTACATGTGGAAAATCATTTCAGTAGACGGGAGGAGACACAATGCCAGTTAGTGCTCAGCCTCTTGTGTCTTGCTTCAGCATAGCCTTAAACGGAGGGCTGTTTCACGTCGACTGCTGGTGTGAATTCATTTCACAAACCTTAATTCAAATTACTGCAAAATCTTTAGTCTACTGTACATTTCATAATAAACAGTTGCTGACAATTTGTACATGTTTTCCACCAGTTACATTTGATACAAAAAGCAGGAGGTCATGATTGTATTGCACCATGTTTGCCACCTGAATGGTGTGTGTGGAATAAAGAGGTCAGAGGATTTCAGGTAACTGTGATTGTGTCGTCTGATTCTGTACGTTTTTGAAGATACATTTGAAAGTTGACACCAGTCAGACTCCAGTGGAGGCTTCATGTGTGGCGGAGCTACTAGCCTAGATAGAAGCTCAAAGGGCAAAGTATTAGGCAGTGCTAACTCAAGCCCTGAGGTCATTTCAGGACGTTAGCTGCCTTAGTTGGATGTTGGAGTAGCAAGTAGAGCTTTCCCCAGGGTTAGCAGTTGGGCTGTGATCGGTTTTTACCTGTATCCTGCCTGTGGGGGGGGGAAATGAAGAAGTTAACAAGTCTTTGCTGAGAGCACAGGGCTCTTTAGGTTAGATGAATAACACCAAGTTGGACTAGTGCTGCTGGTGATTTTGCCCTCATGCCATAAAGCACTTTTTATTTTTTGTTTATAAATTCTTTACAAATTAAGGGGACAGTTCACCCCCAAATCAAAAATACATATCCTTCCTCTTACCTGTAGTGCTATTTATCCATCTAGATCGTTTCGGAGTGAGTTGCAGAGTGTTGGAGATACTGTCCATAGAGATGGCTGCCTTCTCCCCAATATAACCAACCTGGATGGCACTCAGCTTGTGGTGCTCAAAGTGTCAAAAAATACATTTAAAAACTCAACAGCAATGTCTCAACAAAAATCATGACCCTGTTACTCAAGATAATCCACAGACTTTGTTGTGAGCAATTTTATGTTTGAACTATTTTCTTTCTACTGAACGACACCCCTCAATCGTATCACAGTGCAGAAGGAAGAGTGCATCTACTCATGGACAAGGGGCTCATACCCGGACAGCATGAGACGTACACCTAATGGTACTGTATATGGTATACTGTATATGTAACATTAATGGCGTCCTCCTTGGCTGAGCTGTAATGTTAGCTAGCTCAGTGGTGCTAGGTGAGCTAGTAGCAGATGCACGCTTCCTTCTGCGCAGAGATACAGTTGGCAGGAGAAGCTCTGTTGTTCTTACAAGAAACTCCTCCCAACAAATTCTGTGGATTATCTTGACAGATATATAGAGGTGGTCATAGACATCTCCACAGCTACAACATTTATCAACTCACACTAAAACAATCTAGATTAATAAATAGCACTACAGGTAAAATGTGTATTCTTCATTTAGGGGTGTACTGTCTCTTTAAGTTAACTATCATTAAATGTCAGCCATGAGAGATGTAGTCCAAACTCTCTACAAAATAAGAAAAGCTGCTTCTTTACTTCCTCAGCTGTTAGGAAAGAGATTGAGATACTGCAGTTCTGGCAATGGACCAGTCCTCACTCCAGCAAAATTTAAGAATAAGCTGTTGAAGGTTGAAGGTTTATAAAGTATATGGCTATTTTTTTTCTGACATTTTAAAAGCAAAACAATGAATTGGATAATTAAGAAAATAATTTGACAGATTAATTGCAAATAAAAATGGGGACCTTGGGACGATAAAAAAAAAATCAGTAGATTAAAAAAAAGTTTTAAAACTGAAAATATAAATTAATTCATTTAAATAAATAAAGACCTGAAACTTGAAAAACAAGGTCTAAAACTGAAAATATGAATTAATTTATTTAAATAAATAAACATCTGAAACTTAAAAAAACAAGGTCTAAAACTGAAAATATGAATTAATTTAAATAAATAAATAAATATCTGAAACTTAAAAAAAAACAAGGTCTAAAACTGAAAATATGAATTAATTTGTTTAAATAAATAAATAAATANAAAATATGAATTAATTTGTTTAAATAAATAAATAAATATCTGAAACTTTAAAAAAAAACAAGGTCTGAAACTGAAAATATGAATTAATTTATTTAAATGCATAAATAAATAAATAAATATCTGAAACTTTAAAAAACAAGGTCTAAAACTGAAAATATGAATTAATTTATTTAAATCCATAAATAAATAAATATCTGAAACTTAAAAAAAACAACGTCTAAAATTGAAAATATAATTTAATTTATTTAAATGAATACAAAATTAAATATATAAATAATAACATTGGTAACATTGCTATTTTTTTCTTTGAGTGTTAAAAACTACACTAAAGCTTTCACTGCCATATTTTCCTTTTTAATTCACCATTTTCTTTTTAGAATCGACAAAACTTTTGGTGCATATTTGTCACCATACCTCGTTATGTAGGCCTATTGCCTATTAAATATTTACTCCTGGATGAGGAGCCCAGTCAGCTGGAGGGACCTCAGAGATGTACTGCTCCTCTTTGACTAAACTGCTGATGAGAACAGTGAATCTGCAGCGTGCCAGAGAGCAGCCTGTGCTCCATGAAAGATGCAGAGGAAGTTGTCAGGATGCTCCGCTGCTGTTGTTGTCCTGTTCCCTGACATGACTAATAAAACAGATAGATTGATGTATCCCTAACATGACTTGAGCTGCGTGCAATTCCTCTGTCAAGTGTGTTTTCAAACAGAGATGATGATTATATGTATCAAGTAGAAGGCAAAAAAATTGTTCACGTCTACACTGCAAACCACAAATGTTCCCAAGTATAAATCCTCTCACTTCCTGTTCTCTCCCCTCTCCGGCTGAGGATGACGAGGTGAGAAGATTGCGCATGAATTCGCTCACATGGGAAATGAACCGACAAATCAGGATGAAATGAAAATCAAACGAGAGGGGGTTGACTGAGAGAGGCAATTACCTCTAATGAACAACATTTGTCCTCGGCACACAGTCTCAATCAAATCATCCCTCCTCCTCTCAGGCTCTATTTCTGCTCTGCCTTTCACTTCCTGTCATCGTCCCTGTGCTTTCTCTCCATTTCCTCCCTCTCTACCTCTCACCGTCGTTCTCCCCCTCTCTTCTCTATTCCACCCTTCCCTCGCCTCTTTTCTTCCTGTCATCATCCCTCTGCTGTTGTGAGACTGTTGATCTCCCCAGAGGGGCTTGTGGGATGCTGGAGGAGTTTGAGAGTAACAGGTGTCTCATTACTGTGCTAATAGCAGGCCACATGGAGACACACACACACACACACACACACACACACACACACACACACACACATATTTTTACAGTGACAAGCAATGGCAGAGATGATAACTCCTCCACATTGCTCACATTCTTGTGCTCCCTCTCTCTCAGTCATCATTTCATGGGTGAATTACCAGGCATGAATAATTTGAACGTGTCGAAGCCTAGAGCCGAGTCTATCTTGAGACGCATGCCCACACGACTCCTGCCACCAATTCTCAAATTTTCCATTTAACACCAGTGCAAGATTTACTTGAAAGCTGAGGCTCCGAGCTATGAAAAGATTTTTTTTTTTCCACCCACGATTTTTGGGAAAATCAACTCAAACTCCTCTCCTATTACCGCCTCACTGGCAGAGATCACAGCATCGAAATGTGCTGCAAAGATAATTGACGACATCTTGAAACCATCACTGAAAGACACCAGCTTCTCTTTGTGACCCTGGATCCTGTCTGCGGTACATGAGGATCCAGTGAGCTCATTATACTGTCTCTCTGCAGCGGTAATGATCCCTCATTCATCAGCCGCAGACTAACTTCTGTCTCTATCTCCACACACACACATACACACACACACACACACACACACACGTAACACGCAATTGCACAGACAATCTTCCACACTTAAATGAATCCCAATGAGGCATGTAACTGGCAGTTTGTGCCTGGCTGTATGCTTGTTAGAGAGATATCGTCTGCTTAAATTGTGTTTCTCCGCATTACTGTGAGGGAAGAGAAAGTGAGCGCTCTGTGTGTGTGTGTGTGTGTGTGTGTGTGTGTGTGTGTGTGTTTGCAAATGTGCCTTGTTCATACTTGAGACGTGTACGTGCATGGATGCTTGCTTGAGGACACGTGTGGCAGTATTCGTGCTTCTGTTCTGCGGCATCAGATAACAAAGTGTGTTTATGTTTAAGGTTGCAGGCTGAAAATGAAACTGTTATTAAAGAATACACTGCTGCAATGTATGAATAAATTAACTCCAGCAGACAGGAGGGGGCAATGTGTGTAACCCCCACAACTCTGCTCTTTGTATAACAGCATGCATGACACTATATGGACGCCATTTGGTTTATTTTTTTTACCCAAAGCACTTTACAAAACAACACGTACTTTTAGGTGGTATTAAGTTGTGCAGATGTGAGTGCTTTCCAAGCTACCAGGGATTACTCTTTATGTCCATGCATTGTGTGTGTGTGTGTGTGACCTGCTGCATGAGGCTCACGGGTCATTACCCAGTCAGTCAGAGGACACAAGAGGCCATTATCCCGGGCAGTCTGGACACTAAATGTTTGATAAGCCTCGAAAGCGGATGTCCTGTTTCTCTTCTCATATATTACAGATGTACACGAAAGATGCAGTGACAGATTAAACTCTCAGAAATCCATGAAAAAAATTGTAGGCTGTGTGGATTGTTATTCTGCTCAGCAAGACAAAGTTCTCCTATGTATGTCTGGTGCAGCTGGTAGCAGATAGAGAGTGTGAATGTGTTGGCTCAGCGGAGTCCTGAGAGATGTCGAGCTGCTGGAGATGAGTCATGTAGCAATCTGATTATCCGTCTCTCTCTCTCTCTCCCCTCCCATCAAAGCAAGAGTTCGTCATAACAATTCGATCTCTGGGCTGCTTGGCATTCAAGAACTGAACACAAAAGGATCCAAAACACAGCCAAAGAACTGCAATATATTTCTATTTATTATCAAAATATGGAGATAGGATGCATATAAAAAAATCTTACTCAAAGATATCAATAATGGTAACAACATGCAACTGATACTACATATAAAAAGCATTTTGCATGGCCTTGGAGCAAATTACCACTGTATTTCGTGTGACTGCATTGTCAGTGTTTTCGGCAACCGTTGTGACACAGTGTGAGTGAATAAATTCAACAGCTCTATTAAACCTTTAGTGCAACTTCAGAGTCCTTTGCTGAAGCCTTGTCATCGCTTCAAGTGTTTTAGGATGGATAACTGACTCCACACACATCCACCCGTGGAGAGAGGGTCATAA